CGGCGCGCTCCAATCAGCAAACACAGGAAATAGGCGAAAGCAAAAATAATGGTAGAGAAAAAAAAACCAATGCAGCATATATTGGGGGAGGAAATATAAAAAACCCCCCCGCGGGGGGGGGGGGGGGGGGGGGGGGTCCAAACCTTCCGTCCCCCGCCCCTGTTTTCTTGGCTTCCTCATTTTAGCCCTTTTTCGATTGCGACATATTTAGCATCGTTGGGTAATTAGCCCCTATTTCCCCCGCTTCCCACCCTTTTAGAAATTCCACCTCCTGCCCTTTTCGCTTCCGCTTCCCATACCCCTCCTGCCTCGATTATCCCAGGCTGCTTTCCCCTTTCTTGCTGCACAGAACAACAAGGAGCGCGCTGGGGTAAGGGATCGGGGGTTGGAAGAAAACGAGTTTTTCTCCCCCGACCCCAGGGCTCCCAAGAGAGCTTGCTCGCAGGCTATTAAGCGTAATCGGCACCAAATTTCTCCTTGTAATCATTCTGCTTTACCAAACATAGTCGGTACATAATCACAGTAGATGAATTTAATGGATACTTCAATATCTCCCCGCCACTTCTATACGAAATGTATAGGGATGACAAAGCGGAATTTTAATTTTGATACTAGGGTTAAGTATGACTAATCGGTAACCAAGAGTCAACTAAGAAGCACGAGTAGCATTTCAAAAAACGTACGTACCATCTGTGAGCCAAATCTGTGCTGAATTGTTTCTTGCGTGGCTGGCACTGCAAGAATAAATGTTTCAGCATAATGTCACATTAATCAATATTATTTACATAGCTGGTAGAGAAGACCAATCCGATCAGAGGTTGCTTTCTTAAGATATTACTCGGTGTTAAAACAGTGAAACAGTGTCACCAAGTACTTACCAAATTCTTCCAACAGAAACACGCCTCCCTGCGTAGAACAGTTCCTGATGTGACTTAAGTCAATGTGAACCTAACAAATAACAAGATCAGTTACCATGTGAACACCACTGTCCCAAGAGGTAATGACCAATGCCTCTGTCTCCAGGTAATCTACTCTTATACAGTTAGTGATATTTTTCATTTACGAAGAAAGCAAAGGTAAAGAAAAATAAAAAAGAAGTTATTCAAGAGCCTGATTTCTACAGCAACCTACCAGGAAGCCACTCTGCTAGCAATGCCTTTTTTTCACTTGTTCGATTTTGGCTTTCCCGAGAAGACTCTGCACGAATCTAGTAAGATCCTTGCTGAGCATGCGCTGGTGTTGCTGGGATACGGTTTCGAACCCAGGCTCAATAGCCGTGCGTCTGGCACGGAGGGCTCAGATATGGTCATCGGTTTATCAAAAACCGAATACTCGCACTCGGAAAAACAGTAGGCAACTTCAAAGGCTTAAAGCGATTTAGGTAGAGCTTTCTTTCCTCCTCCTCATTCGGGAACAATATATAAAAAAGACCTGGGGGGTTGGGGGGGGGGGGGGGGG